TGGTTGACCAATTGTAACCTGATCGCAGTGTGTTATTTGCAACTAGACAGTAGCAAATGATTCCATGATGCCAGCTAAATTAATGAACCATTTTGAAACAAAGCATTGATAGTTTCAATAAAAAAACATAGCTTTTTAGGAATAATGAGCGACAATTAAAAAATTTCAACTCATAACTTAAAAAGGTTATACATATCTTATTATGACAGAACTCATTCTAGCAGCCAGGGAGATGCACATGCTATGTTATACAGCTGTGTTTAACTAGCCAGACAATTTTATTGTACTATGTGAGGTACAAGCACGAAGATACCATACTTGCAGATTTTGTAATCAAGACAGCAGAAAAAAATTTTGAAATTAAATTCGTTTTTTGACATAAATAACACTGAATGTGTTGGAGTTAACACAGACGACGTCCGGACCATGTCTGAACAAATAACAGATCTGAGGACGAGAATAAAGCAATCTCCATCTGCAGATTGGTATCATGGTGCCATTTATCGAAAAGAAGAGGTTACCAAAAGAAATCCTGTGGAATTAAAAAATGCCTTGGTTGATACACCATTTTGTCCAAAGGAGGATGTTCAACTAATCATGAGTTATTTGCAAAATCTTTTAAGAACTTTCAGATAACGCTATCCTCTTTCTGACAAAAGTAAGGTATGGATTCGGGATTCTTACACCATCTTTGTTTCATCTCAGTTCTTTTAACATTGTCTTTAGTTATAATTCATTTATGAATGAGTATAAATGATAGAAAATTAATTTTTTAAAAAGGTATTGTTTCAACAATCTTAGTCAAAATGCGATTATTATATCTGGCGTGAAGTATGTTTGAGTACTCGTTCCAACATATTCCTTCCAGCTACAAACAATTAAGTAAGGTATGATCCTCTTTGTGTTTATAACTCTTTTATATCAATCAACTTTTCATTTAAACTTGTTTCTTTTAAATTTGAGGTCCAAATTCTTCATTTTTTTTTCAACATGCGATTTCCAGCGCAAATTAACGTCTATATCCTAATATTTTGCTATATTGGCATGTCATAGTTGGATATTGTTCATGGTCAGATGTAGCCTCATTAGACTTGATTCACCATTATTAACTGAGGTTTGTATGTAGATTTATTGCCGCTTCTTCGTGTACTTTACCCACAGTCATTATAGTAGCAGTATCATCAGCAAAAGCGGCTATCGTATCATCCTTTAATTCTGGCATATCACTGATATATTGTAGGTAGAGGACTAGCCCTAGCACGCAGCCTTTTGCGTTTAGAGTAAGCGTTTTCCTGATTAATTCTGAAGGCTAGATCTAAGATATAAGACTTCAGCCATTGTGAAAGCTAAGTAAGAGGATGTTTAATATATAGTACACTCTATCAAATCTTGTTTCTTATAAAACCTTGGGAAGTGAAACGAGACTTTTTTACATATTTTTGCGACTGTGTATCAAAGAACACATAAAGGATGTATGTGTGACGTACGAGGATTTAAATTTACAAGTCTCCACGTTAATTAGAATGCGAAATGAATAAAGTGATTCCAGTATATTGATTAAATGACCAACATCTGGCTACTTTGTATTCATGTTCAAAACACATGACTTTAGGTCATGTCAATTTTACCGTCAATATCTTGGACATTTTACTTGTAAACCAGTCAAATTTAACTGGTAACCTGATGAGGTTATGTGCATGCTAAAAAATTTCGATGATATTCAAATACAGGAATTTCGGGATAATTAGCTATGAGTAGAGGAAATATATTATGTAACGAAAGTGATGATTGAAATTGTGAAGCATTAGCGACAACAACCTAAGTTTTTCAAAAATATCTGCGTAAGCGATGATTCTTATGGCAAAGATGTACACGTAACCTAAGCTGAGAAAGCACTTTTCTGTTTCAAAATATTGTGAAATGTCTTTATCAGTTGAAAGTGAATGATACAATACCATAACCATATATTGCTGGTTTGCTAATGGATACTTTTAGACTTAGAAACACAGTGTAACATGTCTATTATAAGCACTGCTGCATATCCCTGATGATAAGATGAACTTTTTTTGATCTTGACCTATACAGGAGAAATTGAAAAAAATTTGTTGAGGATTATTTTGGAAGACATAGCGTATGAAACATATATCCTTTCACGTGGATATGGTACGTGGAACACTAAAGGTACACCAAAAATTTGTACAAGAAAGTACAATGAACTGACAAGGTACTATGGCTTGGTTATCTAAAGACATTCCGAGTCTGTGGAAGATATGAATAAAGAAAATTGGACATATTACTATCATAAAAGTTCCACACATGAAAAGCTACAACATCAAAAAAAACTATCTGGAAGACTGAAATAGTTGGTGTAAGTGAAGTAAAGTTGGGTACAGCTTCATACTTAACAATTTCGTTATTAAGTCCACCACTGAGTTTAGACATTAAAGCCTATTTGTCAAGATTTACCCTATAATGAGCTTCTCGAATGATGCAGAATCACAAAATAATAACGTGTGGTTAAATCTGGTAATTTGGAATTTTCCTCCGAATCTTCACATTGTACAACGATAGCAACTGAAGGCACAACTTTTTTGCTGTTATAACGTTATTTGCTGCTAGTTTATAGACGTGACCGAGTATCTGCTACCTATGCGCCAACTGTCCGGACAAATTCGTATAGAAATTCCCCAATACTTCGCATGGAGAGGACAGTGGACCGCCTTGGGTTGGACATATTCGTCGTCACACCGCACAACTTCAAACAAATTATTCGTAATGCCGTGCTCGCCCTACCAGTTGTGTGATTTTGAGTACATTTATCTCGTTGCAGCGGCTTGAGTTCTGCCTTGAAATGGATTGATCACATATGCTCTAGGGCCTAGAGCATATGTGGGCCTAGAGTCTAGGCCATTAATTGATCGATTTTCAATTTTGTGTTCATACAATTATTGTATATAAAATGTATTATAGTGTCCTGTTGCTACCCCCGTGTGTGTAAATAAATAAATAACCTTTAATAACGGATTTATACTAATTTTGAAGATTATGGATGTGACGGTAGATTTAATTGGCCAACAAGCAAAATTGCAAACGCACAGCCGCAATGAGATCCGCAGTAACAGGAATACGTTCGCTGGATTTCGCAAGTAACACAAATAACGCATTACAGAGAGAAAAGGGCAAACTTGCATGATATTGTACGCCTTGTCAAAAGAGCTTTTTTATGGCCCTGGAATAGCACATTAATTGCAAATATTATGCTGTTGCTACAACATAAAAGTTATAAAAGCTTCAATCGCATTTTTCGATTACCCAAAATCTACTTAACAGGTTCAATTGTGCTCGAACTTTGTACACATATTAATCACATACATAGTTGCCATCTGAAATAAAATGAATCAAGTACATTTATCATTATGCATTTTTGTATATTCTATGCGTTTCCTTTTTCTTCTTTACATGATTACATAATTCTGCATTATTTTCTGCACATTACATCCAAGATTCTTAATAATTTTCGTGTAGTTTCTAGATACATGACTCTTTCTGATATACATGGAATGTAGTGAATATTCTTGTGCACTTCCACTAAAATTTGTTTTTCATTCTAGCCTTTGATACTAAATTATTGTTCCATAGAATTTAACAAACAGAAAATATTATTTTATTGAAAATATTATTCGTAAAACGATAAAATAATTCTATTTTATGTATTAAATTAATCAACAGGAGTATTTAAAAACTTGGAAGCATGCATTTGATAAAATACTTAAAATATTTTTTAAACAATACCGAATAAACAGATAAGGAGACATAACTTAAACATTCCTGTATACGTTTATAAACAGACTATAAAAAATAATTCGAAATAAAAAAAAATTCCAACAGTTCAATTAACTTTCGCTGTTTTGGATTCGTTCTAATAATTACACGATGTATTTCGAAAAGAATTGTGCAAAAAAGAATTACAGGAACAAATTAAAAAGATTTAAAAAAAAAACAACAACACAGATGTAGAAATTTCTTTAAGGATATCTCGTTTAAAGCATTAAAATTTAATTCACATCCTTAACAAGTTCTAATTACTCTTATTGCATTCGCAATTAATGAATTTCTCAGTTTTATAATTAATCACGTAGCAGTTTAAAATCAATGCATATTTTCACAACACCTTGACCCAGATTCCTTATAATCTAAACATATCTACGAAACACGTAGTAAAAAGATCGAAATGAGTTTAATGATTTTATAAACAAAGCAGAGTGCATTTTGCACAATAAATGTAAATGTAAATACTAAAAATAAATGTAAATGAAAGTTGTAACATAAACTCAACCCACATAGAGATATAGAATTGTAGGAAGTAAATCTAACTTTAAAAAAAATTGCAGATATACGATTTCCCAACCTTTTATAGTAAGGGAAACCAGTTGAGCTCTTATTCCTTGTATGAGAGATAACAAACATAGTGGGGATAAAATATTATACCATAGTTGTTGCGTTATCAATTAAAAAAAAACATTATGTAGTAACATGTAGTAATCACTTTTATGAAACCCCGCTTTTTATGTTAAAAGAGATAAAATCAAACGGAATTTTTTTATATCTATATTAAGAGCCGATATTAAATTATAATCAGCACATAACATGAGGAAGTGTCAATGACCAGTATTTAAAGGTTCTTAAAGCTTATCTATTCAAAATATTTTTTTTAATTGTTTAATTAATTTCTTAAACATGTTGCTTTTATCTTTCGTCGTCTAGACATTGTATGGAAATTTAGATTTTTTTTAATTACAATTCATATAAATTTCCATTGTAATAACTTTTTGGCATGATTATTTTGGCTCACAATAAGTGTATATAATAAATCTCTCCAAGTTTATTGTCATACTTTTAATCTTTATAGGTTGCAGATTTTTCTCTATAAATCTAATACAAAATCTTTCAAATCACTTTTGATTATATCTTTCGAAAATAATTAAACTCTAATAACTTACTCATTTGATATTCCTGAATTCTGTGATGCAACTTCACCAAAATTAAATTTAGTCTGACTAAATTTATCATTGTTTAAGTCTTCAAAACTAGATTCAATAGCAGCACTAGGTTCCGTGGCACTTCCACTAACACCATTTGCACTATGATCGGAACTAAAACTTAAATTATTACTAAACGTGAAGTTTTGTTGTCCATTGATTGAGTCGTTTAAATTTGCCGGTGCATCTTCAGAATAACTCAACATGCATAAACTGTAAAAGAATAATTAATAAAAAATAAACGGGATTTTTTATGTGTTTGATACTAACCTGGCGAAAAAATAAAGGTAAAGTGTTGATAAGCGGTTTATGGCATTAATTAAGATCATTTTGAGCCGTTACTATGTTAAAATCATTGCGTGTAATTCAAAAAGATTTAAGGTGGATTTGTTAACTTTAAATTGCGAGCTCTCAAAATTATAAACTGACGTGTACTTGACAGGAGCATGTTTGAATGAATTTTTGTGTCTGTGGTGGTGGTACAAAGGAGGCCAACTTCGAAATATAAATCACTAAACAATTTTTAATCAAATTAAAAACACAATTATGGAAAATTTTTAATTTATTATTTGATTGATAAATAAATAAAATTAACAACAATCTTAATTAGGTTTAAAAATATTAATAATTAAAAATTAATTTTTTAAATGTAAAATTTCTATAATACCAATCTTGTAAAAAGAAAATTTCTATTTGATGACGTTGATGTTTGACATAATCTGTCAATAAAATTTAAACGAACATGGAAAAATTATTCACATTTCCGTTTTTATTGCTTGAAATACCGAATATTAAATTAAAAAGGCCGTCATGGCTTCATCAACCTTCACCGAAAACAATGTTTGCGATAGTTTTGTTATCGTACTTTTTGGTTACCGGAGGTAGGAAAAAAGTGAGGTTATGTTTATGAGTTATTGAAAAATTTATTTTTAGGAATCATTTATGATGTTATTGTGGAACCTCCAAGCGTAGGATCAACCACGGATGAACACGGACATTCTAGACCGGTTAGTAAGAGAAACTTAATATATTATCATTAACCATATTATTTTTAGGTAGCTTTTATGCCTTACCGTGTTAATGGTCAATATATTATGGAAGGATTAGCATCAAGCTTTTTGTTTTCAATGGGTGGGTTAGGGTTTATAGTTTTGGATGGAATCCATTCGCCGTTAACCCCAAAATTAAACAGATTAATGTTGACCGGGGTTGGGTTTATTTGCGTTTTGGTGTCGTTTTTTACAACGTGGGTGTTTATGAGAATGAAATTACCCGGTTATTTGCAATCATAATCACAATTATGGATTTTTTTTAAATGAAAATTAATTAAAGAAATGATTAAGTCGAATATTTTTATTTAATAAGAATTAATATAAAAAGATAAGTTTTTTAAATAAAATAAATTATCAAAAACCTTGGCAGTATTATTTAAAAGGGATCAAAAAATTGTCTTAAATAATAATGAGCAAATTGTGGTCAATTATGTTAATAATCAGAAGTTATAGACGTATTCTAAAAGTGCTAAAAATTAGTCAATTAGAATTGATAATTATAGAAAATAATATTTAATTACTTGGCAAAATCTGAGTTTTTATCAATAATATGTTCAAATTCAGCAAAAGATAATGAACCATCATCATCTAAATCCGCCTCTTCTAAAACGTTTTGTATTAAATGATCCATTTCTCTATCATTGAGCTTATTTCCCCCAATCAGTCTTTCAATAACTTGTTTTATATCAGAAGTACCCAACATATCATCACCATCAAAATCTTAAATATCAAAAATGATTATTATAAAAAGATTTTTTGTGTAATTTTTACCAAATATTCTAAAAGCATGTTCAGCTTTAACAGATTTAGGTGCACCTGTACTAAAAACAGACATCATATCCAAGAAATCTTCAAAAGTCATATCACCATCTCGACTAGAACTGAAAGTCTGACAAATTCTATCACCAAAAGGATTTGCACTTAATTCGGGGTATTGCAGCATTTTAGTTATAGGAAGTTTCGCATTTTTATTATGACCAACCTTCTCGGGGGCTAATGCTTTAAATTTTTGATGTGCGCTACAAATTTCTGAATGAATCATTTCTTTCATACATAATTTTTACTTACTACAACACCTCCTTCTTTGTGAAATACGTCAAATCCTTTAAACAGAATAAAATAAGCCCCAAAAAAGTTACAATGATTTAAATTACCTCGTAATCTTGCAGTTCTTCTTCGGTGAATTGGCTTTTTCCTTGCCCCATGTTCAATGGAATGTTTAAATCTTTTTGAATTTCATCGAAATGTAAACAATTATTTACTTCATTGTTGTAGATGTCAGCACTTTTTTGGTAATGACGTGTAAAAAATTGGAGTGTGAATAAATAGAGCTGTCAAATTAAAGTGATGCCGATATTAAAAAATTTAAAGTAATGAACGAATTTTAAGTAAAAGAAAAATTTATTGACGATAAAGAAAATGCATTAATTTCTTGATCAAATTATTTTTATTTTAATTCTAATTTATTAATAAAATATCAAGGAATTGGAATAATTTAGTTAGGTAGAATCCCAAGAAGTCTATGATGAAAACATTGATTAATAAAGATTGTGATGTTGGTTGCATATCTTTAAGGCCATATCTTTCCTTAATATTATCATTTTTTTTAAATTACTTAAATAAGACTACACATATCTTCCCTATCGTCAATTTTTCTTTCTTCACATTTCTTTCTTTTTTCTAAAAATATTAAATGAAAATATTAAATTAATCCAACGCATAAAAAAAAACCAACCCATATCATTAAACGTAGAACAATCTTTACTTTTATCACTTTTTAGAGGTAAATAAGGATATATTTCACACAAAAAAGGTAACCGATCTCTACACCCAACAATTTTCCAAGTTTTATTACCATCCAAAACAACGCAATGTTTTCTTTTATTCAATCGGGGATGTCCAGGTGCCCAAGCTCGATATTTATAACAATTTAAACGATTTCCAAACGAAGTAATAAAATTTCCTTTTTTACTCCAATAATCGTCCAATCCAATAAAAGCGATTTTAGTCCAATTTTTGATTTTCCCCGAAATTAACGTTCCCAAAGAATTAGTTAAAACATCACTTTGGACTTGAGCTAAATCTCCGTTTAAACTCATACAAGTATTAATCGCTTGGATATAATTAGATTTTTCTTTAAACAATCTATAAACACCCACAGATTTTACGCAGGTAAATTCTTCACTTAAATTTTTATAAAACGTATAATAATCGTAGGCACTATCATTAACCAAATTATTTTCAATAATTTCTGGGCAAGCTAAAATTTGACACGACGATTTGTAAGATTCACCGCGAAATTCTGCAGCTTCTGGAGGACTGAAATTAACAGCCAAAGCATTTCTTGACATTGCGTAATTTAAACAGCGATTTAAATTACGATAATTTGCAAAAGAAATCATTGGAGCCGTTGATTTTGCGCAATTACGGATTTTAAAAAATTTTCTGTTCACTTTTTCGTTTAAACAATCTTGAATTGTTAAGGTTTGGTTAAAATTTATAACAAATAGAATAACAAGGAAGAACATTTTGTGTTTTACTAACAATGATTTATTGAGAATGATTAAATGAGGATAAAAAAATTATGGTGAATTGTAGATGTCGGATGTTGTTGATGTTTCTTTTGTTACATCATTGTTTAGGTTGGTTTCATTCTCTATTGTGTGGATTCTATTTTTTGGAATACGTCTGATTAGAAAAATATTAACAACGATGTTTATGGAAAATAAGAAATTATTATGGCACATTAAATCTTCCTCAAATTTGCTTTAGAATGTTCGTTATTTCGTGATGATATCTCCATTCGTTCTTGAGATACGATTTTTTAAATTTATATTTCATGTCTACAACAATAAAGCGCGCAGAGTTGGATTTAAAAAATCATAAGAACGATGTTTATGGAAAATAAGAAATTATTTATGGTACACTAAATCTTCATTAAATTTGCTTTAAAATGTATTTTATTTCATGATGATATCTCCATTCGTTTTTGAGATACGATTTTTTAAATTTATATTTTATATCTATAACAATAAAACATACAGAGTTGGGTTTAAAAAATCATAACAACGGTGCTAATGAAAAATAAGAAATGATTTATGGCACATTAAATCTTCATCAAATTTGCTTGAAAATGTTCTTTGTTTCATCTTAATATCTCAATTCGTTCTTGAGATACAACTTTTTAAATTCTATTCGTCAAATCTACAATAATCAAACATGCAGAGTTGGGTTTAAAAAATCATAACAACGATGATTATGGCAAATAAGAAATTATTTATGGCACATTAAATCTTCATCAAATTTGGTTTAAAATGTTCCTTATTTCATGAAGATATCTCAATTCGTTTCTGAGATATCATATTTTTAAATTTATTTTTAATATCTATAATAATCACACATGCAGAGTTGACTTTAAAAAATCGTAACAACGATGTTTATGGAATATGATAAATTATTTATGGCACAATAAATCTTCATCAAATTTGTTTAATATGTTCTTTGTTTCATCTTTATATCTCAATTCATTCCTGAGATAGAACTTTTTTAATTCCATTCGTCAAATCTACAATAAAAATGCAGAGTTAGGTTTAAAAAATTATAACAAACATGTTTGTGGGTAATAAGAAATTATTTATGGCACACTGAATACTCATAAAATTAGCTTTAAAATGTTCTTTGTTTCATCTTTATATCTCCATTCGTTCTTAAAATACAACTATTTAAATTTTAGTCAAATCTACAATAATCAAACATGTAGAGTTGGGTTTAAAGAATTATAACAACGTTGTTTATTAATAGTAAGAAATTATTTTTGGTACATTAAATCTCCATCAAATTAGCTTTAAAATATTGTTTATTTCATGGTGATATCTCAATTCATTCTTGAGATACGATTTTTTTAAATTTATATTTTATATCTATCACAATAAAACTTTCAGAGTTGGGTTTAAAAAATCATAACAACGATATTTATGAAATATAAGAAACGATTTATGGCACATTAAATCTTCATCAAATTTGCTTTAAAATATACTTTGTTTTATCTTAATATCTCAATTCGTTCTTGAGATACAACTTTTTAAATTCTATTGGTCAAATCTACAATAATCAAACATGCAGAGTTGGGGTTAAAAAATCATAACAACGGTGTTTATGAAAAATAAGAAATGATTTGTGGCACATTAAATCTTCATGAAATTTGCTTTAAAATGTTCTTTATTTCGTGATGATACCTCTGTCCGTTCTGGAGATACGATTTTTTAAAATTTATACTTCATATCTATAAAAATTAAAAATGCAGAATTGTGTAAAAAGAATCATAACACCGATGTTTATGGCAAATAAGAAATTATTTATGGCACATTAAATCTTTATCAAATTTACTTTAAAATGTTCTTTGTTTCATGGTGATATCACCATTCGTTCTTGAGATGCGAGTTTTTAAATTTATATTTCATGTTTATAACAATCAAAAATGCAGAGTTGGGTTTAAAAAATGATAACAACGATGTTTATGAGAAATAAGAAACGATTTATGGCACATTAAATCTTCACCAAATTTGCTTTAAAACGTTCTTTGTTTCATCTTAATATCTCAATTCGTTCTTGAGATAGAACTTTTTAAATTCTATTCGTCAAATCTACAAGAATCAAACATGCAGAGTTGGGTTTAAAAAATTATAACAACGGTGTTTATGAAAAATAAGAAATGATTTATGGCACATTGAATCTTCATCAAATTTGCTTTGAAATGTTGTATATTTCGTGATGATATCTTTATGCGTCTTTGTGATATGATTCTTGAAAATTTATGTTTCATATCTATCATAATAAAACTTGCAGAGTTGGGTTTAAAAAATCATAACAGCGATGTTTATAAAAAGTAAGAAATTATTTATGGCATATTAAATCTTCATTAAATTTGCTTTAAAATGTTGCGTATTTCATGATGATATCTACATTTGTTCTTGAGATACGATTTTTTAAAGTTTATGTTTCATATCTATAACAATCAAAGGTGTAGATTCACGGCGAAATTGTACAATTTCTGGAGTCATAATATTAACAGCCAAAGCAGTTCTTAATACATACCATAATATAATGAATGATCTAAATTACGAGAATTTGCTAAAGACATCATTGATTTCGGGCAATTACGGATTTTAAAAAATTTTCTGTTCACTTTTATAACAAATAAAAAACAGTTTGTGAGTTACTAATAATGATTTAATGGAAATGAATAAATGAGGATAAAAAAAAATTATAGTGAATTGTAGATGTCGGATGTTGTTGATGTTTCTTTTGTTACATAATCGTTTGGGTTGGTTTCATTCTCAATTGTATTATGGATTCTATTTTTTGGAATACATCTGATGGTAAACCGTCTGTGTAAATCTACAAAAAAATTTTGAAACGTTTTTGTTTGTTATCTAGTTAATAACTTACTTTTTCTACTTTTGTTGCAAATTTAGCTGTGCCATCCTTAACTTCCTTAACATAAGTAAAAATATCGTTTTTAACTGCGTCTTCGTCGATACTTCCTTCTTTTTCCCGTAGTCTATTAACCATTTTCATCGTTTCCAAATAAAGATAAATAACAACATCTACGTCTTTAATTTCTTTAACAAAAAGTGCTGCTTGTTTAGCAGTTCTAGGAAAACCATTGATAATGAATCCGGTCGCTTCGTTTACGTTTTTAAGCATTTCTTCTTTTATAAGATCAACAACCAAGTCCTAAAAATAACTTTTTTGATTTGGTTCAAGATTTTTTAAAATTTAAATACATCTTGAACTTTTCTATTTTTACTATCCAAAACATCTTTAATAATGTAAGCTCGTTCGGTTTCAAGTAAAGCTTCTTTTTTAATCAATTCTGCTACATTGATGAGTTCGTAACCCAGTTTTTCGGATAAAATGTTAGCTTGGGTGGATCTTCCGGATCCTGGAGGTCCCAATAACCAAATTATGGGTAATTTTTTTGATCTTACTAGTGACATATCGTACGTCCCTCTTGCATCTGATTTTGTAAGCTTACAAAGGAAAATTTAAATAATAAAAAAATTGATTTGTGTTGGGTTTTTTTACTTACATCATCTATACAAGCAAAAATATTACCCATTTTTTCTTAGTTTCTATTGAATTTATCAATAACTGATAGCCTGAAACTTAAAAAAAATCTCATAACTTAATGACATATCAAAAAAGATTAAATTTTTTTTGTTTTCAAAAATTTAAATCAACGCTAACTTTTTTCTGAAAAGAATTTGACCTAATTTAATATAAAAAGTTTTATTTTTAAACCTTAGCTTCAAGTAAATTGTTTACCAATCCAATTAAGTAAGTAAACCGTGTGTTTTTTTGTTATAAATAATTTCTTAACGGTTAACGCATTCACCTTGTTACCAATTTTCAACTTGTTTCTAGGTTTTCATGTGATATTTAAGTATTGGTCGATTATTTTATTTTAAAAACTAAACGTTGTGTATAAAATAATAAAAAAGGAATCAAATCTTTATTATTTAAAATATATTTTAATGTTGTTGTAAAAAAAGGCGTTGCTGATGTTCTATAAATTTATAAAGATGTTAACTTTTCTCAATATCGGGTGAATCGAGCTATAATCACAGTTCATGATGGACAACTGGTTTAATTTCTAAAAGATTTATTAGATAATAACCGATTGAATACTACTTCGAAAGAAAAATACTTAGCTTGGATCTTGGGAAATTATAGTTTTGAGTTCTTGTTGTCAGTTTTCAGTAGCTTAGTATATAATTTTCTTTAAAGTATCTGATAATCATAAGTTCGATTGAATTTACGAACAGCTTTTCGAGGGGGAAGTGATATCCCTTTATTTATCTTCATTAGAAGTCATACGTCATAAGTAAATGCTTAGGTACAGTATCATTTTTGGATATGCGGTTGAAATTAAATTAAATATGTTACTACTTGCACAGTTTTAAAGTCTAATTAAAAAATATATTACTAAAATATGTAACTTTCTTATGAAATTTTTATGAACTGATTTTTGTTTAAAAAATCATAACAACGATGTTTATGGAAAATAAGAAATTATTTATGGTACACTAAATCTTCATTAAATTTGCTTTAAAATGTACTTTATTTCATCATGATATCTCCATTCGTTCTTGAGATACGATTTTTTAAATCTATATTTTATATCTACAACAATAAAACGTGCAGCGTTGGATTTAAAAAATCAGAAGAACGATGTTTATGGAAAATAAGAAATTATTTATTGTGCAATAAATTTTCATCAAATTTGCGTTAAAATGTTCTATATTTCATGATGATATCTCCATTCGTTCTCGAGATACATTATTTTAAAATTTAAATTTCATATCTACAACAATCATACATGCAGAGTTGGATTTAAAAAATCATAAGAACGATGTTTATGGAAAATAAGAAATTATTTATGATACACTAAATCTTCATTAAATTTGCTTTGGAATGTTCTTTGTTTCATGATGATATCTCCATTTGTTCTTGAGATACTTTTTTTTTTAAATTTATATTTCATATCTACGACAATAAAGCGTGCAGAGTTGGATTTAAAAAATCATAAGAACGATGTTTATGAAAAATAAGAAATAATTTATGGCACATGAAATCTTCATCAAATTTGCTTTAGAATGTTCTTTGTTTCATGATGATATCTCAATTCATTCTTGAGATACGATTTTTTAAAATATATGTTTCATGTCTAACACAATAAAATTTGCAGAGTTGAGTTTAAAAATCATAACAACGATGTTTATGAATAATAAGAAATGATTTATGGCACATAAAATCTTCATCAAATTTGCTTTAAAATATTCTTTGTTTCATGATGATATCTCCATCTGTTCTTGAGATACTTTTTTTTTTAAATTTATATTTCATATCTACGACAATAAAGCGTGCAGAGTTGGATTTAAAAAATCATAAGAACGATGTTTATGAAAAATAAGAAATAATTTATGGCACATGAAATCTTCATCAAATTTGCTTTAGAATGTTCTTTGTTTCATGATGATATCTCAATTTATTCTTGAGATACGATTTTTTAAAATTTGTTTCATATCTATCACAATAAAATTTGCAGAGTTGAGTTTAAAAAATCATAACAACGATGTTTATGAATAATAAGAAATGATTTATGACACATAAAATCTTCATCAAATTTGCTTCAAAATATTCTTTGTTTCATGATGATATCTCCATTCGTTCTTGAGATGCGAGTTTTTAAAATTTATATTTTATATCATATGATGTAGTCATATGCCATGGTAGTCAACCTGTTAATAAAACATTTTATTTATGTAAGAATTTACAAAAACAATGTGATATAACTTTCCTTCCATTGACGTCTTTCACTAATACGTTTATATCTCTAAACAGCGTTGCCAAAAGTCAATGTGGTTTTATGGTAAGCTTCTATGAATATTAGTTAACTCTGTATTGCTATTGCATAGGTCTTCGGAAGAAGGTGCATACATTATTATACGAGACGTATAATATGATATAATCATATATTAATCCTCTAGAACCTACATAGGATTTCTCTTCATCATAGTCCTTCTGCATGTTGTCCTGAGCCGTCTGTCCTATCGATTTCAGTTAAGATTTCATTTTACATACATGCTACAGAAATCTCGGAATATTTTATATAGTCTAATCGTGGTATAAAGTTTGCTGTATATTTTGTATACTTTGTATTGAGAGTAGTATTCGACACGGTCTTCTTTTCATGTGAAAGCGATTGTTGTAAACTTTCGTGTCTTGCCCCAACAAAAATTCTACCAACCTGACGGTGACGTATCAGTTAGCTAAAATAATTTCTTGTCTTTCATAGGTTTCGCAGTAAGTATACTAATACTTGTTAATGTAATACTTTCTATAACCAGAAATTATAATCAAGCAATATATGCGGCAATGGCAAAACAAATGAGGTTGTTCTTTATAAAGCAAAAGGTATTCATCAACTGGCTCATATGATCCTCATACAGCTCTTCCTCAGGAATACAAAAAACATTGCTACACATGTAAGTGGTCATCCCTCAACGTAACTGTTTGGATCATTAAACATCAGAAATTTTATTCTTGAAAGATATCGATTTTGACTCATAATTTTAAATACAATGTGGCAGTAAAATTGTCTTTGAGTTCAACATAACTGACACGTGTTACGTTTTTGCTTCGTTTTGGAAGTTCTAGAGTTTAGTAGATGCATTAGTGCTCAAATATCATTAAATGAGCCTCTAATTAAACGTCATAATCGGGGTATCTTTACATATTTCTCAGTTTAAATAAAAATAAATGTCGATTTTTGGGCACCATTTAAACTAAGAGAAATTTGAATGAAAAATGTTCAATAATAAGATTGTTTTTAACAAATTTATAAACACTTATCTAAAATTTGTTCCACTGTTCTTTAGTGAAACATTCCGATACTCATTCATCATTTAATTTACACTATTAATTTCAAATTAAGCTATACATGTTTTATTTTTCACTTTACATCAGATATTAACTTTTGTCACCATAATTGATTATATGTTCAACCAGTCATGATACATAAAGATGATAAAGTCAAGATGATACATGGAAGTAATCGTAACAAAAGAAAAGTCCTATAAGCGGCAAAAATTTATTGTTTGAGCATATAAGTAATAAGTCTTAAAAAAATTTAATGGAATATGTAATTACCAATTTTTTAAAATACCAAGACCTTGAAGATATAATGGAATTATTATGAAATATAGTTTTATTAATTAATAGCAGAAGAAAAATTTAAGATTGTGTATATACTAGAAAGGTAATAACTGGATTAGTACTGGAAAGGTCTAGATGGAGAAGAGGAAGACTGGTCATAGAGAAAAAAGGATGAACGATGGCTGGAAATACAAGAAGAAAGGTTGGGAGTGAGACTGAAATGAAAGAAATGCTACAAAAATGCTGGTAATAGAAGACAGATGCTAAATAGAAGCTGGAAGGAGAAAAACATGTTTTGTCAATAAGTCGGGTATTGGAAAGAACCTGCAAAGGGAAGAAAACTACTGGGTAGAGAAGAGATTGCGTGGAAATAGTATGGTAATAGAACTGAATAGATACTAATTGGAGACTTGATAAAGAAGAAGGGATTAGATAGAAAAGAAGAAAGCTAGAAAAACATTGGTAATAGCAAAAAGAAGCTAAACAGAGACAGTAGCGACAAGAACAAGACTTTAAGGGAATGAAATTGAAACGAGACTCTCAAAGTGAGAAAGGAACTAGAAAGAGTTCTATTAAATATTCTTTGATGTTGTGATATAGGATTTTCAGTTGAAAAGGGGTGAACGAAAGCTGGAAATACAAGAAGTAAGGTTGGCAGTGAGAATGAAAAGAAAGAAATGCTACAAAAATGCTGGTAATGGAAAAAAGAGGCCAAATAGAAGCTGGAAGGAGAAGAAAAAAGTTTGGGCAATGAGTCGGGTATTGGAAAGAACCTGTAAAAGGAAGAAAACTACTGGACAGTGAAGAGAATGCGTGAAAATAGTATGGTAATAGAACTAAATAGATACTATTTGGAGACTTGATAAAGAAGAAGGGATTAGATAGAAAAGAAGAAAGCTAGAAAAACATTGGTAATAGCAAAGAGAAGCTAAACAGAGACAGTAGCGACAAGAACAAGACTTTAAGGGAATGAAATTGAAACGAGACTCTCAAAGTGAGAAAGGAACTAGAAAGAATTCTATTAAATATTCATTGCTGATGTGATGTAGGATTTTCAGTTGAAAAGGGGTGAACGAAAGCTAAAAATACAAGAAGTAAGGTTGACAGTGAGACTGAAAAGAAAGAAATGCTACCAAAATGCTGGTAATAGAAGAAAGAGGTTAAATAGAAGCTGGAAAGAGAAGAGAAAAGTTTTGGCAATGAGTCCGGTATTAGAAAGAACCTTGAAAAGGAACAAAATTACTGGGCAGTGAAGAGAATGCGTGAAAATAGTATGGTAATAGAACTAAATAGATACTATTTGGAGACTTATTAAAGAAAAAGGGATTAGATAGAAAAGAAGAAAGCTAGAAAGACTTACCAGATACTGGTAGTAACAGAAAGAAGCTAAACAGAGACAGTAACCGTTACTGTAACGACAAGAACAAGACTTTAAGGGAATGAAATTGAAATAAGACTCTTAAAGCGAGAAAGGAACAATGAGTTTTGGCAAAAGCACGAGAACTACTGGGCAGAGAAGAGAATGCGAGAAATAGCATTATAATAGAACTGAATATCAAACCTCCTCATATAATTAGAAAAGAAAAAGGTAGAAAGATACTGGTAATAGCAGCAAGAAGCTAAACAGACAGTAACGACAAGAAGAAGACTTCAAGGGAGTGAAATTGAAACGAGAATGTTATTAATTATTTTTTGATTTACGATTTATATTTATTAAATGATTTTTATAATTTCCAAACCAAGAGTTTTGAGGTTGGCTTGATTGTTCCACCCTAAATAAAGAGTTTATGATATATTTTCTTAAATGTACTTCAGTCGAGAAAATTTTCTGAATAGGTTATTGTTGATGACTCAATGTTGCGCTATGTACTATTTGAAAGACAAGATAATAACAGATTGAATAGGATCTAGCAAAATTGAGTACTGGGACAGAGAAATTAAAGTTAAGAATGGACTATTTGGTACCACAACGTTAAATTCAAAGAATGCCGATATCGAAAAGATATGTCTATAAACACGAGCTTTATTATAAATTTTGTATGAGTGAACTTTAGAATAAGCTTCTTGTAAAGATATTTTAAGTTAATATTTAATCATTTCTTTATCTTGTGTCGTCATAATATTACAGAGTTATCGCGTGTATGACTCATATTCAACACTTGTTGAGTTCCCAAAGGAATCTTAAATAATAGCCTTGAATGTTTCAAAGAAATTATCGGAACGTTTTACCCTAATAAATGGAACTCGTAAAAATAATTCATGCCTTACCTAATTAGAAACGTTTTTAATTCATTATTTAAATCCAACTTGAAAAATAATTTAAAAAAAGGATTTTAATTTAGATTTTCTTCCTTTTCCCTATATCGCTAGGATCAAAGAGAAAAAAAAATGACATAAAAGAAAATGATAACTGGAAAACAAGGCATGGCAGAGAGTGTCGCGACGTCGACGTCGTTTCTATAGTGACCATCGGTTGACCACTACAAAGGTAATGTAGTATCAATTATTCAAAATTTTCCAGCAGCATTTTCACGGTAGCCATAAGGCGATTCGCGTCAGTTTTCTTCAAAACGGACGACGTGTGACGTTCAAAAACGATCTCGATGTTTCTACTCGTTCACGTTTGTAAAGTATACGCGAAGCTAAGATACAAAATTTTAGTTAAACTGAAATTGAACGAGAAAAAGTGAAAAGGACCAAGAGTTCCACAGAATTATGTAGTTTAATTTTGTGACTCAGAAAAGTGTGACTAATGATAAAACGTGAAAATTGACAAAAAAGTTTTTTTTTGAAGTGATATGAAACTTTGTTGTTCCTTTTCTTTTGGGTGTAGTGTCTAAATGAATCCGTTATTTTTTGCGGGGAATCCGCGGTGCTTTAACGAACTTTTTGTGGTTTATTTTTTAATATGGGCATTTGTTTAGATACAGGTAAAAATTTTGTTAGAAAATAATAGTTGAATTTAGTATTTTCTTGCTTAACATTATTACTAAATAAATGCATTATGTAGAACGTAAACGATACTAATATGGATAATCGATTGAAAAGCATTAGCTTCATCAATGTTTGTTAATGTAAGGTTGTTTTGAAATATGATCTACTCGGAAAAAAATTATAAATGTTGCATAAATGTTATTACCCACTCGTAAAATTTAAGGCAATTTTATTTCCTTCCATTAGGAGTTAAACGATTTACACAAAAGAAGTAAAAACCATTTGTTAACTCACCTTGACCGTGAAAAATTCTTGAAATAAATACGAATGGATTTTTTTTTCTTTCTTAATTCATTCAAACCTAAGCTTTATTTGAATTTGAAACGTCAGACTAAAATTTGGGAAGACCTTATTTGGTAGGTTTCATTCAAAAACGAATCTAATCTCAATCTGAATCACCCCAAAGCTAAATTTATATTTGCCAAAGAATTTTTATGAGCCTAAGAACTAAATATAAAACTTAGGGATGGCGTGCAATTGAAATAAGAATGCTGTGCACGCCTTATAGTATGTCTATTAAATTTGCGTGTTATACCGCAAACCGATCGCGTCTAGATTTTATCGTTCACTTTGTACGCCGCAAATTACCATTTCCATTTCACTTCCCAACCCAACCACCAAAAAAATATTTAAATCAATCTTATAAATAAAAATCAAAGCAAAAAATAAAAAAGTGTTTACCAAAATTAATTCCTTCTTTAGATAATTCAAAAATTGTTCTGTTTTCCATGTTTCGATTGTTGTTTATACCGCAAACTGTAATTTCCTGCACCCAACCTGAAATCATCTAACCCTGAGGTAAACGGTTCTGACCTTGACCGGAAGCACACTGAACCTCACCACATATCATAAACTAGCGTTCAAAACGATCGATACACATTATGTTTAAGCTTGATGATATTAACAACAATATGTAATATTAAAAAAAAAATTGATTATATATTTTCTATTACTTTGTTTGTAGAGCAAAGCGATGGATCCCAAGCTTTTGAAGAAGGAAGGGACACTTGGGCCAAGAATAGCGGTAAAAACGTTCGTGAAGTCGCAACGCCCGCTGAAGGACGATTTCCTATGCACAATAACGCCAATTTACAATTTGAAACGCCTAAAGTGCCCGTTATATTTGTACTCGGTAAGCATTATTTATAAATGTTTGTTATTTTCAAAGAATTATGTCTTTTATGTAAATAATGGGTCAAGAACCTGACGTGACAAAAACACGTTTAAAGTGTTAATGAATATGTTAATTTATTCTTATGGCACTAGAATTCAACATAGAAATAAATTAGTTGAGTTGAAATGTGAATATTGGAAAATTATGAAAATTGCTTCAAACAAAACGGCAACTTTTCTATTTAGAAATACAGTTGATGGTTGGTCTAATAGTCATATTGGACAATGGGTTGGGTTCCTTACTTTGATATTAACTCCTAACAATACAATACGTTTATATGCTTTGTAATTTTTTTGTAACAACAGTACAAAGTTAATAGGAAAATTGATAGAATAATCTTTCCTTTATTTAGCACAGGAAATTCCAATTTATTTTTTCGAATTGTACCAAGGAATGTGATATTTCTTTATTCCAATTCCCTGGATAGATCAGGAGTTGTAAAAAAATTCAGCTTTTATATTTCTCCTTGTTCCTTCAAACTCCCTTAGCATATCCAATACGCTGTTCTTAGTTGCGTTCATGCTCCTATTTTCTCGACATGGGTTTGGCAAATATAAGCATGCAGAGTTACATTATCGCAAGTTGCACAATCTTTATCCCATACTTTTCAGAAATTTTGACATTTTTCAGATACTTCTTTTAGAAGCAACATATTGTTTGAAGTAATTTCCATGTTACAAAAGCACCTTCCATGGAATGTTTGTGTATAGTTATATTTTTATGGGCAAACGTATTTTGTAATACGGGTAGCTATAACCTAAAGAAAGTTCTAAGGAGGGCTAATTTGTCTAAATCTTGCTCTACCTTGCATAATTCAGAATTACCAAAACGTAAAGATTAGAAAATAGTAGTGAACTTGTTTCAAGCCTTCTACATTCGATAAATTCATAATTCCTTCATTAAGGGATTTGCAAACTTCTGCTTTTGTTGACTTGTTACAAAAGGTAGATACTTGTTAGCATCCAACTTTTTGTAGAAGACACTGTTCTTTTTTACAATCATCTGTATTCGACTAAAAACAACGTGGTTGACAATCTCATATCTAAAAATTAGGCAAAAACGTCGTATCGTATCCATGCATAACGTTTCGCTGTGATTTACATACCTTTTTGTGTAATGTAATTTCGCCCCCTTTAAGTTTATTTTTTTATCAAAGTACCATATAAATATTTTTAACGTTAGAAAATGAAAAGTAAAAACTTACAGGTAAAAACTGTTAATCATCATTATCAGTAGAATCATTGCTTTCAAATTCTGAGTCAAACGAATTTACGAGGCTGAAAGAAATATATTTTTTTTTCACCACTGTTGTCTAAATTGGCAAAAATATCTTGGTCAATGTCACCATCAACTTCACTTTCTTCTTCAAATCACTGTTGTAAAATACCTTCTGCATCTTTATCAATTACCGGAACTAATCTTCTACTCGAAAAACGTTACAAATTGTGTTAACACAGCATTCTTGACATTTACATTGAATTAGGTAAAGTACCGAATACACAGAAATGCAGAAAGATTACCAAAAACACTACATTTTGACATCATATACAGAACACCGTTCAGGAAAGAAACTTTTACGCCAATATTACAAGTACAATATCAAAATAATGTAATAATTGTGGTCATTAGTGACCCAATTGGTCTTACATGTCACTTTATCGTTATTTAAAAATATTATATATATTAATGCTAAATCTAGAAAATACTGTTTGAAGAAATCACAATTTTATCAAAATTTTATGTAAAAAAATTTTAAATTACACATATTTTGAGTTGCTATTTTGTATGCCAGGCAATCGATGCGGCATGGTTTTCGCCCAGATAATGCATAAACAGTATATTTCTACTTCCCGTGGTAGCTTCAGCATATTAGCTTTTTCTTTTATACTTTCTAGAACTAATTCATCACCCAAGTTGTCCAAAAACAGCTTCAAAAACAAAAAATCTTATTTACTCTTCATACGTTAATTTCTCTTCACATTCAATATGCTGATGAAACCCACCAGTAGCTAACACTTTGTGTTTCGAGCAGTGTCGCAGTATGTGATCATCCTGCTAACTACAGGTCCTTACGTTCGTTTTCTTCTACTTTGTCATCATACTATACTGCTGATGTGTGGATCACGATGATGTTGATGACATCAGTAAATATAAACTCATTCAGCAGTGATCTTTGGTTGCATGGGCGTTGGAAGTTGAAAGAATAAAGAGGAGCAAAAATGAAATATTGAAAAAAGAGTAGAAATTTAACGATTTCCTTAATACTTGAGGAACAATTTCACGTCATTAACAACAAAATTCGTTATATTGTGATGCAGAATAAAAAAAGTTAGTCTTGAGGTGCTTCATTTTAATTCTTTCTTGCACAATCAAAAACTCACGAATTTGTTTATGTCGAATTGAAAATTAGATAACGTATAGGACGCGCCGCTTATCGTTTGGGTGTCAACCTTTTCGAAATGTCGAAATCCTAAGAATTCTTCTTTGATCCATTACAACGTACCGAATGTCGATGGACAAGTGCTCTTTTCCTATGAGATATGATATGACAGACTTTATTTACCTCATCGATTTATTCTTTTAGAACCTGAACGTAGATGTTGTACTTTAAATTTTCATAAGTCCATAAAATATAATGTGAAATGAAAGCATGAAATGTATACCACTTTTCCATGTTCCATTTAATTAGGGAGACATGCTAGCGATGCTTATTTATCTAACCTGACAGTGTTTGTCTTAGAATTATAGTTTTTGTTTGGTAGAAAACAATCGATTTATAATTTCATTTTGATGTCATCTTTAATTTCAATTTTGTTTACATAAAAGCCCAAATCAAACTCACTATTTATTGTAGTTGATTGCGATGAGAAAGTTTCTTATTCTTTATGATTCGTCATTTTCATGATAATAATTGCTACAGAGTTTGCTACATGAATGATTTCGCCAAATTATTGCCCAGCATCATCTCTAAATGCATTTATCATAGAGAATATTTATATTCTGCGTTTGCTTGGTTTATTAGGAATGTACAACTTGGGTGCATCGTCCATGAAATAACATTTAATAACAGTCATCTAATAACATTTTGTCCAGAAAGATATGTTTTGTTGATGTATACATACTTCCGCCAAGAAAACAAATCTCTGTTGAAAGATGCTAGCAGGAAACATTTACAGAAATTTTCAATGAATTAGATAAATACAATAACTTGATAAATTAGTACTTACAATAATTATGTTAAAAAAATGTTCAGAAGACAACATCTAAAAATGAAGTGTGTTTAGTTGCATTACTTTCATGAAAAAGACTTCAATTGAGTAGTACTAATACATGTTTCAGTACATTTGTTCTTATCTTCAGTATATCTTAAGCACCTTCATTTTCTAACATACTGTTATATTCTTTTAGAGAAATGAATATCATTTCATTGAAGATGTTCCATATTTTTGCCACCTCATATACAGTATATAAAATTTTCACACAAAACTGTCAATTTAGAGGTTTATTGATTTAATGGTTCATAACTAAAAATACGAAATAGGTAAATAGAAATCGTTTATGGATTATATTTTTATGATTTATTGGGTACAATTTTTTTAATATCATTCTCATTTACAGTTAATAACATTTTTGAGATAAAACCCATCATTTTGTTGTTAAATTCGTCAAATTTGAAATGTTTAGGAATTTAAATCCTAAACATTTCAAATCAGTTATAATCACCTGCAAATACCGTTTTCATGGCTCATTTCAAATTCTTTTCATCCACAACATTTTCTCCTAGGATTTTTAGATTAGAGTTTTAACAAGAATTATTATCCAAAACCGTCAGTATAGAGACATAGGGATTTTATGGCTTATAACTGAAAAGGAGAAATACTTAAACAAAATTTTTTTATGGATTATGGTTTTGTAGTGTATTATGAACAATTTTTATTAATACCATTTATATCCACAGTTTTTTATTTCTGAGATAAAAGCCATCATGTTAAATGTGTCAAATTTCAAATGTTTCAGGATTTGAATCCGCTGGGTTGGTAATAATTAGTGGTGGAACGGATATCCGGCAACTATCTGGTATCCGGCCTATCCGGCCATTTTTTAAAATCCAATACCAAATATCCGGCTTTGGCCGGCTATTAAAAACCTATTACTTAGTACTCCACCAATCACAGGAATTAGTATCTCTTTTAGGTGTTGGACAGTGCAGATAATAATCAAGTTCAACCCCAATAGGACTTTTTTCATCGAATACAACTTTATTTATCATTAGCAACCTCATTGTAACAGTCCCAATACGATATATAAAATCTCTTGTTGCAGTTTTGTCTAGTTTTCTTCTCTTCACTTGTAATTCATCATTACATTCATTACTAACAGAATTGTCGCTGTTATCACTTTCGATTATTAATTAAAGTATCCTCTTTTTAATGCAATAAACCGTTTTGAAAAATCACTTTTAGTTCTTGAGAAAAAAATTTTTTAAATAATCGAAAATTTTTTCGAATTTTGCAATTTTCGCCGATTAAGTTTTAAAAATTCGTATAAAATCCAGTTCATGGAATATAAGTATGAAAATTTTCCAAAATGTTAATAAAAGTGTCTTCTTTCTAATGAACCAACCCGTTTTGAAAAATAACTTTTAGTTTTTGAGAAAACAATATTTGAAGTTTTGATAAAATTTTCGATATTTCAGTATTATCGATAATTTTCAAAATTCGCTATAAAATTAATTTCTTGAAGGATCCTTATGGAAATATCGCCAATTATTAATTAAAGT